ATGTATGTTGAAAAGCAATAATAAAAAGATTTAAGCTAAAATATTTTAAGTCAAAGGGGATCGACTGACAAAAACATTTGGGAATCCTTGCTATAATGCCTTTTACAACAAAATACTGTGTCTTTACCATGGTATTCACAAAGCCACTTCAAATATCTTCTATATCATTATAGTTAACTACTGTACAGCTAAAAAAAAAAGTAACTTGAAATAAAATATTGAAAAAACTCAAATAAAATACAATTAACATAAACTACATATTTAAAAAAAAAACTAATAAAAATCATAAAACAGCAAAATTACTAAAACTTTAACAAAAATGAAAAAAAAACAAAACTAATTGAAACTATTAATAAAACTATAATAGTATCTTAGTGATGCTAAAATAAGTCAATCACTGATGTGTGCATGCAGACATAAACGAGTGTTTGTCCGGGGATCACGGCTGTGACGTTAACGCACGCTGTGGGAACATCATCGGCTCGTATTTCTGCCAGTGTCTTCAGGGATACAGCGGAGATGGAGACTCCTGCTACGGTCAGTCTGAGATCCCGATCAATGCAGTCTGAATGCTGTGATGATGATTGATGATGATGATGCTCGTGTCTGTGGTTTGCTCAGATGTGGATGAATGCACTCAAGGTAACAGACTCTGTGAACACGACTGCATGAATCAGCCGGGGACGTACAGCTGCGTCTGCAGCCCTGGATACGCAGTCACTGCAGATCTACACAACTGCACAGGTACACACTCACACAATACACCGCACTCACTTCAGTGTGATTTACTTCAGTGTCATTCACTTCAGTGTGATTCACTTCAGTGTGATTCACTTCAGCATGATTCACTTCAGTGTGATTTACTTCTGTGTGATTCACTTCGGTGTGATTCACTTCAGTGTGATTGACTGCTGTGTGATTCACTTCAGCGTGATTCACTTCAGCGTGATTCACTGCTGTGTGATTCACTTTAGTGTGATTCACTTCAGTGTGATTCACTGCTGTGTGATTCACTTCAGTGTGATTTACTTCAGTGTGATTCATTCCTGTGTGTTTCACTTCAGTGTGATTTACTTCGGTGTGATTCACTTCAGTGTGATTCACTGCTGTGTGATTCATTTCAGTGTGATTCACTGCTGTGTGATTCACTTCAGTGTGATTCACTGCTGTGTGATTCACTTCAGTGTGATTCACTTCAGTGTGATTCATTCCTGTGTGATTCACTTCAGTGTGATTTACTTCAGTGTGATTCATTCCTGTGTGATTCATTTCAGTGTGATTTACTTCAGTTTGATTTACTTCAGTGTGATTTGTATGTTTTTCCATATATTTTCAGGTTCATTCATTTTCTTTTTTTACTTGGTTCAATGCAATTAATTTCTGTTGTGTTTGAATTTTGTTCAATTTACTTTATTTCAATTCAGCTACAGTTCATATAAATTCAGTTTAGTTCTATTCAGTTCAGTTTAGTTTAACTGAATTAAATTCAGTATAATGCTACTCAGTTCACTTCAGTCAGTTAGATTCAGTTTAAAGGGGTCATATGACGTTGC